ATAATATATTCATTATTTAAAAGTTGAAAGTATTATAATCATAAATACAATCATTTCTACTGTATTTCTATGTACGAGTATATGGGTGTGTATTAATTTAATGAGAAAAAAATTAAAGAACACTTTTATTCAAACCGAGTACATCTACTGGACTATATCCTTCACACACAAATAATCAAAAAGCACCGAAAAATTGTTTGCTAAAATAATTTATCATCCCACACACAATAATTAGAATTAAATTAATTTCGAAATTACAAATAAAACACATAATTTTTAGTTTGAAAAAAATAATTAAACAATCATTATATATGAAAATTAATTAATGCGGTAAATAAAATTTCACAACTTAAATTTTAAACTATCTTTCAATTCTTTCCCTCTGTACTAGATTTCGCAAGGAAAAAATCTGCGATTTTAATGACATAATTTTTAATTGTTATTAAAAAAAAAAAAAACTTTGGATTTTTGCTCTGTTCAAAATGTTTTATTCCACCAATGTGAATTATATTGTGATGATTGTATATTACACGCCAAAAAATTGAGTTATTTGGCTAAAATATTTAAAAACAAGTCAGTAAAATAAATTACAATATTTTATAGAATTTTTATAAATAATTAATTATAAGTTCTCAATTATTTAAATATTTTTTCAACAAAAAAATTCATTACAAATTCATAAAAAATAATAAATATTCGTTGATTTTTATATTTAAAGATAATGGTTTTGATATCATTATATTCATAAAATGGATGTTGGTCTTAATAATTATTGATAACAGAGTTTCAAAATAGTCTTTTTTGGGGTTTTAAATAATTATATTACAAAACACCATGTATAAAACAAAATATTGATAGATTTAAGGAATAAAATAATAATAATATTTATTATAACAAGACAGCGTCGCGACATGTGTAGAGCATAAAAAATACACATTGTTATTTATTATAATTAGATTATAAAATTTATTGGATATAAATGTTTAAATTTTTTCAAACAATTGAAACCTTAATAAGTAATCATTATACTAATGAAAAAGATAATACAATAGCCCTTGCTGAGAAGAAAAATATTTCATTTTTGAACAAATTTACCTTATTAAAGTAGAAAATATAATGTAAAAATTAAAAATGTGCAAAGAACCTCTTTGTTTGAACCTACGTTTCTCACGTAACATAATAAATGGGCTACATGGAATTTTGTATCATATTATTGTGTACAAAAAAGTTAGAAGTAAAAACTAGTAGCTGCCGCACATTGATTTTATAAATAATAGAAGTTTTTTTTTTTCAATAATTAAGTTCATCGAAATAGTCTTTCAAAAAAAAAAAAAAAATTGAACAAAATCGCACTTGTAATGCTAAAACATTAAAATGTTACGTTAAAATGTAAAGTTGAAATCATACAACTTTGTTCAATTAAATATTCTTTATTATTTAACGTGTACATCATTATTTTTAGCTTTACTCCGACCATTGGGGGGAACATAAGTACAAAATAGTTTCGAGTTTAAACCGAATAAAATATATATATATATATATATATATATATAATGAGAGTGCACTCTCTAGTTAATGTGTTTGTGTGCGCGCGTATGTGTGTGTGTGTGTGTGTGTGTGTGTGTGTGTGTGTAAATGTACGTAATTTCGTTATGGAAAACTGCACTACCAAACATTAAATTATCTGCGTAGCATACATATGTACATTATTCGAGTTGCGTGCAAAAAATATGTTAAGACTATAATTATTATTTGGTTATAGATGTTGGTTTAATAATATTAATGGTTAACTCTCATTGACCTCATTACTACGATTTTATGAATACAAACCGTAACCCATTCTCCTGTTATATTACGCTATATTAAAACATACTGTGCTATGCCAGCACAACGTACGGTATACTATGGAATGGGGTGAATAAGACTACGATCATATTCGAATGTAATATAGGTCTAAAATAATTGTATTCGATATAATATAGCACGTGAAATAGTTTATTATTTTATAAACTAAATTAACAATCAAGTATGTCTACAACGGAGGCTCGATGTTCGTAATATAAAGTTATTTATATTAATTCCAACAGTGATTATCATAAACTTCGAACAATGGTATTTTTACTACAATAATTATAAATTTATAAAAATATAATATAAATCGAATTATATTCATAATTTGTATGTCAATGAAAAAAATCAGCATAAAACATTTATCATTGTTAAAATCTATAACGAGCGATAATAAAAATAAAATAAAATAAAATATTCGTAAAAATAATATCACACAAACAAAATGTAAAAATAAATAACTTCCAAATATGTCTGAAGTTATACAATATCAAAACTTGAATATATTATTTTTAACGTGCTATAAACAAATATCGTATTTAATAATTTCAGTTGTTTTCTTCAAACAAATATCATTTTTTTATTTATTTATTTATTTTTTGTTTTTGCATTTGTCATAAACATTACAACAAAGATAAACATTATTAATTTGATATTTCTGGAACCTAAGGATAACAAATTTACAAATATGATACAATTATTTTAGTAGATTGCTGTGCTATCTACTTCTATTACACATCATAAAAGTAGGGCGAACAATTATTATATAAAACATTCGCGTAATAATCCTTTAATAAAAAACTAAAAATAAATAACATGTTACTTAAAAAGTGTCAGTATATCTAATTTTAGATATATTAATTTTAGATGATATAAAATATAATTTACAAATTCTGAAGAATTGAAAATAAATGTTATTTATATATTATTATTTAGTTTTAAACGAAACATGTTTGTTAGTATAAATGCATCGTCATATTTAAACTACTAGGGTGAAAATAAAAATAAACAATACATAATATCTAACTTCAAAACATATTTTTGACTTATTTTATAAAACGAGTTTAGGGAGTTATATTTATATTCTAATTAAACCAGATTCATGTATTATTCATTCTTTTGGCTACAAGTATAAAATAAAATAGATTTTTCTAAATATAAAATACACATATTGCATACAATTAATGTAAATTGAGTTATTATAATAAAGCCATAAATTAATATTTATAAACATAAGAGGATAACACATTTTTAATATACGGTTAAAACCATAACAAATTTACCATTAAAATAACATAAGAATTGCTTTTATAATCAGTTCAGTCGTATCTATATTATCAAGAAAACTAATTGTATTAGTATTTTTATTTTATTTATTTCAACCAACCAACATTTTTCAAACTCATAACCGTAATACATTTTGAGTTAAAATAAATCTTTTAGTGTTCAAAAGAACATTGTATTAAAACATATGAACCACTCGGTTTTAAAAACCATTTTTTTTTTCTTTTTCCGAAGTTTACATACCACTAATTTGTGTTTGTCACACTCGATGGGTCAAGAGAGTGCACAGGATTAGGTTATTATAAAAGGGCCAGCTTTAAAAATATTAAGTTTTATATAATCCCGGCATTTTGTATTGCGAAATTGTAATGACTCGGTATATACTACACAATGGATGGACAGTGTTGTGAGTTTAATTTTCGAGAAATTATTTACTAACGGAAATTTGCAGTACACATATGAGCAATTTATACAATTTTATCAAATAAATAAAGTTGTGTGGTTCAGACTTGATTAAAATTGTGAAACATCTTCGCTATTTAACTAGTTATGGACAATTTTCACCGTATTGCGTTTTTAAACCGATAATTCGATATATATGTCATTTTCAGCTGTGCTATTTCCTTGTTTGATCCCCATTATCTTTTCAGAGTAAAATTTTAATAGCTTTTCCATAAGAAATAAAGTGATACTTATATTAACACTTTAATTAGTTCCAAGATGGAAGGGGGCTAATAAACACAATGTTTTATAATTAAAAGTTTTCTCGTTATACTTGGAATCAAAAATTAAATAATAGCCAAACTTCACCAAATCAAGTAATACAATGGTTTATTTCGTTCATTGGTTATAAATTAAATGCAGCCAATTTTCAGATATGATTCATGTTTTCAAGTTCTTATGGTTTCAGTAGCGTAATAAAAGCATTACAAAAATAATAATCATTGTTTGACTAAACCAAAATAACAGTTTATAATCATATTAATATTTCTTATTTATGTACCTAGAAAGTAAATTCAATAGACTTTCTATATTTTTGTATGTAATCTTACCGTTTTATAAAAAAATTATACGCAGTTTAGTTTAGTTTATTTTAGTTAATATACAATTATATTAAACTGTACGTGGATACATGCACTAAAGTGACGAGTTAAATAGAAAAAGAAAAAATATTCATAGCTGAAGAATAATAAAAAATGTATTTTCATTTTTATGAAATTAAAACTTTGTGAATATAAATAGTCTTACATTTATGAAAATTAAAAAAATATGTATAAATATGTATTTATAAATCGGGGTTTGACAAGCAAAAATGCCTAGGCCGAAATGATAGTTGTATAAGGTTCTACGAAAAAATCTAACCACATGGAAATTGAATATTATCGAACCATAGATTTCAAGTATGTTGAAACTATGTTTTGTTTAATGATTTCATACAAAACTAAAACTGAAAAGATTGTTTTGATTTTACTCACAATATGTGAACTAACTATTACATTATTTGTATCTATTTTCTTTATGATGCAGATACATATAATGTTACAAAACAGTTTTAATTAAATTACATAAGATTACATTTTTTTTTTTTTAGTCTGAAATATGTTGGCTTATTTGATTATGATGCACCATAATTGTTTCCTGCAGTGTAATAAAAATAATTAAAAATCATATCTTGTATCTGTCGGGATGATATAGTTCTTGTCCACGGATTTAGTCATCCCGATATCTGTTGTTTAATTATTCTATACAAATTCAGTTTTATATATAGTCTAAATACTACACACATAAACTATTATCTGTCAAAATTACAGGTCACTGGACACGATAAATATATACATATATAGGTAGTAATAACATGTTATACGTACGCATATCACGTGACAAGGATTTGGATGTCGTCGTACTCTCCAAGTGGTCCGTAGCCATCGCCACTATCCAGAGTAGTAACGTCAACGGAAATTCGACCATTTCGTAACCTGAAAAATATCGCCCAGCCAACGATTAGTCCATTGTATAATAAAGAATATTTCGTGTTTTTAATAAATTAATACACGGATGCCAATTAAATTGCGATGAAATGTATCGAAAATACGCACAATTATTGACGTCAAGTGCATACTCAATCCAATCTTAAGAATGGAGGATGTCTGTGATTTTGTACATTTTTTTTCTCACTTTTATGTAAATTGTGTAGATGAAACTTTTTATTTTTTATCTCAAGCGAAATATTAATTATATTTTTCAAATTTAACTTTTTTTTTTTTAAACACTTAAAATGAAACTTTTTAAAAACTTGAAAAAAAAATGAAAGATTTTCTATTCTAAATACACGGTATTTTAATAATCAAACGAGAATAATTTATTATAACATTAAAAGTGTTATATTTTTGAATTAGTCACTAAAAAACAATATATGATACATAAATATATATAAATGATAAAATAAAGCTGAAGTTACAATAATTAATTATATTTCGAGTAAAATTAAGAAATCACACATATTTTACAGATGTATAATTAACAGTAAGTTTATTAAACATTATAATCAGTGGTGTAGTGGAGCAGGTAAATGACGTATAATGATTTCTCCATATTTTGGTTGATGCGTACACTTATACTATAATTTGCAATACACAGGTATACGGGTATACTTGCTAAACTTTATAACTATAAAGAGTATTATCGAATTTTGTCCTTTTTTTCTACAAAAATCAAATGTATCAGTTATTATCTTTGTTATTACTTTTATTAGGAACGGTTATTATTTTTAAATTTTACACATCTATTTTAATTGTATTGTACGGAAATATAGTTTAAAAAGCTCTTCTGCAGTAATTTACTATAATAGTTTGAATTGTATTTCATTGACTTTAATTTCGGATCATTATTTTATCAGGTAATTTTATTGCTCATGAAAAAATTCGCTTACATTATAGATTTTTTTTTTTTCAATGTTTTAACATTCTGAGTGGTTGTTAAATTTGATTTTAAAAATGTCTGAATTTTCAAAGATTTGAGCGAAACTTCTATGGATTTTTCAAAAGACTGAAACATACCAATCATGAATTCCATGTATTCTGCTTGTCCAAGAGAGAGAATAAAAAGTATTGAGGATTTAAGAACCTTAGTAATTTTTCTGAGAACAGTAGTTGTGAAACTAAGTTTTAACGACAGTGGCTTTGAATATAATACTTCTTTGAAAACCAAATTCTGAATAAAAAGTGATATAAATTATATTATCATACTTGTCATAAATATTTAAACGCCTACCAAACAGTTACAAAATAATAATAATAACAAATCATATTAGCAATGTCAATTACAAAAGAATACAAGTGTTAATGAATTACGATTCAACCATTACAACTATCAAAATATAGTAAATATTTGGAACTGTTTACTGAAAGTAATCTATTGAATAAATACTGAAAATATATCAATCATTGGCAACTGAGGTTTTTTTTAATTATTTTTAACTTAATCATTATTTATTTACACTATGGTTATAATATTTGTTGTCTACATAATTCGTACACATTATTGATATTTACAATGTTTATTTTTTGCATTATTTTGCTTATTTATCCTTAATTAACTAAAATTATGTTTCGTTAAACTATCTTTAGGAATGCATTTTTTAAATAAAAAATATTACCTACTAAACGATTAAAAACTGAAAGAAAATGAAAAGAAAATTTTCTTTCTGTATTTAGATTTACTAAAAAAATTAAAAATATATATACTTGTATATAAATTTACATAATAAAATAATGATTAATAATGCATCAAATAATACAAAATTGTAATTTAAAAATAAATAGTCAGTTAAGGTAGATATAAAAAATAATAGAATTAATTATATTAATAGTTATTTTAGTAATTTAACACATTTGCTCCTAAGCATAGTTTTGAGAATTAAAATAACCAGTAATTATAATACTGTAGTTGGTTTAAATTACATATATAATTAATTAAAAATTGTTTTTCTGTATGATAATAGTTTAAACATTTGTTTATAGAACTTTAAAAGCATCAACTGTATGAATGACTTTTTTATTTTGTATTATATTAAATGTGTATTATACTTCGATCGTGTAATTTATTGATGTTGTTTATAGCAGTAAGTACAATTTTTGATGATATTTCCTTAAGAAAATTATGAATAATAATAAATACTATAAACATAATAAAAACTAAATATCATGGAAAAAAATTAGAAATGCGAATTATATACTTTAATCGGTATTTAAAAATTTTAGATTACAATAGTAGTATACAATTGTAATTGTAATTGTAATTGTAATAGTAGTATACAATAAGAATTTGCCTGTAAAGGTACACAGTACTGTTATCAATTTCGTTAAGTATTTTGGGTTTTTTTAACTAAAAATACGATTTGTTACGTTACTGTGAAGAGTTATTATGTGACTTATTGTTAATATTCGGAAAAAATAATGAACTGGGTGTTTCGTCTCAACAATAATTTACTTTTGTGAAAACTAGTCATCATTCTTATCCTAGCCTTTCTCACAACATAAGAATGCATGTGCTATCTTTCCTGCAATTTTAATAAACCTTCAAGCATTTAAAAATATGTTCATTACTTTTCTTACTGATTTTATTAATAGCATTTCACGGAAATTATTAATATTTCAATCATTTTTTACCCCTTTTTTCTTTGTAGTTAGATTTCATTGTTTCATTCATAGAACTCGGTTGAGAATAAATAAATACATTTATTAACCATATAACATATTGTACAGCTTTATACAAACTACATTCATTGTTATCGCTGCTGTCCCCTCATCTTATTAAAAAACCATAAAATAATATTTTATGTTCGTCCACCAAAGTATGAGATGCATTTACTATAACAGTAATGTTGATGAAAAAATAGTGTGGAAATTATTAAGTAGTTTTTAAATGTGATATTTCGGTAAAAGGAAAACAAATAATATATCGAAACGCAATCTTTTTCGAAAAACTTTGGTTGAAATCGATAACCACTCGATTTCAATGATACTGCAGAGCCACATACAACACAAATGCCACGTGACTGTACTATGGTAACTATCCCAAATGCGTTAAATAAGGCCAAAACTATTTTACTGATAAATGCGTTAAATATCGTAAAACTATCCGAAAAAATATTCTTGTTGCATTTGGGTAACCGTGCATTATGTTTCTAAACATCAATGGTTGTAATTCTATTAAAGCACCTACTTACAGAATGATACAAATGAAGCATCCGAGTACTACGACGGCACGCTTGTATATTTATGTTTTATCAAGAATAACATGAATGGATATATTTACGTGGTTAAATACACGGATCCATCATAATATTATGATCAATGATTTAGGTAAAAATTATGTATGTGACCTGAATACAAGAAGTGTGCTACCGACGTACATCGTTTCGGTTTCTCCCGTAAATTCCTAAATCTTTTCAATTATTTTATTTCTTCGCCAAAGCATTGATCACGAACCACATTATGTGAACATTATTAAAACATAACACGATACACTGTTTACAGGTTTTTTTTCGACTATCAATCGTTATCAATCCAGTATATTATCTATGTATAATATACATATAAAACAGTTTCTTTCAAATGCATTTAAATATTGCGTAGTAGTTGAAAACTCATCGGATGTCTCAATACCCTTATGAAAGCGGAACTACAAGTATGTCAACATATGCTATATAAATAATTAATTTATTAAGTACTTTTATCGGTTGAGTGTCTCAGAAAAATATTGCTTTATCTGAACCAAGTAAAAAGGTTTTAAGAACGCTGGTGTGGTCAAAATACTTCAAATATAGTCACTAAGATAACATTTGTCTAATAATTAATTTAATTGTTACGTTTTACATAACACATCAAAAATCATCGAGAGAAAATATAAAATAGGTTGCATATTTTTTTCAAAAATTTTTTTTTTTTTAAGTCGAAAATTCCTCAAATATTATTTTTTTCCAATCGTATAATTGTTTATAGAAAATTTTTATTATATAATGACGTATCAAAAAATGTAGCTGAAGAATAAATACTTAGTAAAAGTAAACAACTTAGAAGTTCCGTCAAAAATATAATATTATGATTTTTTAAATTTATATTTATTTTTAAATTAACCATATTAGACTAAAAAAATAAAATAAAAATAATCCAATTGGTGTAAATCAGTTGTTTTTGATAATAAGCATTGAAATGAAAGATATTACACAGATTAAATTTTAGTACATACATACCAGTATTTTTATTATACATGTATTATGAAATGTAATACCTATACCTATGTATAAATATTACTGTGAAAGTTTGATATTTTAAAATCAAAAATTGTTGGTCAGGATAGACTATAACACACAAAAAAAGCTTTTAAAAAATTAAAAGGCATAAAGGTCATATTTTAAAAAGCATACTGGTTTGAAGAATAAATTTAAGGTCTTGATTTTACCCTATCATAAAGACCATCGATACCCTTGAAGTAACCAAAAGGTTATTTAAATATTGTATGCATTATAATATAACAATAAATATAAACGCTTCTCGAATTCAATAACTGTTCATGATAACTTATAGATAAAATGATTTTAAATAAAATATTAATTAAAACCTCTTTAAATTAGATAATATAGAGGAGATAATCATTGTTTCAAATTGTAACAATATACATACATAGGAGTAAAATTAAAATTAAATATCAAAATCATTTTATCTCGAGGAATCAATAATATAAAATTCTATAAGAACTCTATAAATCATTAATTAAATACCTAAATAATAGTGTATGTTAATATATTATTTTTAACCACAATCTTGTGGAGAAAATGTAGTCCGTTTTCAAATGACATAGCTTTGTGACTTCGTTATAATTGATAAAAAAAATCGAATTAAATATTTGGAATAATAAGTTAAAATTCTCAAGAAAAATTTAATTTGAAATATTTCAATTGTCATTTTTTCGTTTC